CCAATTCAAGCTCTGATTTGGGAAGCCTCTTCTTCTCCTAAGACTGCAGCACATATTTTCATATTTTCCCTTTTTTCTTTAACAAACATGGAATAGTTCTATTGTCTGTAAAAACTGTCCATAGGAAAGAAAATGGAACAGAAGAGTTTTGAACTTCCTCAGCCACTTCCAAATTTATTTATCTCTATGACACTGGATAAGTCACTTGAACTTTCCCTTCCCAGTTTCCTCTACTGTAAAATGAAATTTATACAACTTACCCATTTTTGAGATGGAGAACATGTACATTCCAAAAATACTATGAAAGATTCTGTCTCATTATCCTAAAGTTGTTTTACCAGCTGTACTTACCACTTAAAGGCAGATGAAACCTCTGAAGGTAAAGTTCACACAACTCTTTGTTGTGTGAGACCTTGTATTAAAAAGTAAGAATTAATTGCTGACATAGAATTTCTTTTACCCATCTGAAAGAAGATGGATTTATCTCTCAGATGGCCCTCACTAGGTCTTTTGTTTGAGACCCATCAGAACTGAGACTCTTGAGTTTTATAACTGAAAAAAACCTGCCACACAATATCATGCACAGATACGCAATGCAAAAGAAGGAAGAAAATGTAAGAATAAAAGATCTGCCAACAATCTTGTGAAATTGACAAATGCAGATTTGAGGAATAATGAGTTTCTTTTGTTTTCAGCCTTACTTTAAATTATACTAGCTACCTCCCCTGAGCACAAGTCTTATTGCATGTCTTAGATTTCTCTTCTTTGGAACTGTTATCATAATCTTGACCATTAATGTACACCAAGCCTGAAACCAGTTACTCTGCCACATACACAGGCCAGTTGGTATGGTGGGGAGAATTCCCCTCAAACAACTCCCCAGCAAGTCCCTTTCCCTGCAAATGGGGTGCAAATGCCTAACAGAAAAGATAATCTAAATCATGCATCACAATAGTTAAAGCACTCCTGCAGTGCTGCTCAGGATCAGATAATCTGGCCACAGAGTGCTGCTGCCTGTGGTCCCACAGAACTGGGCGGAGATAACCCTTCAATCTGAGTCCAATAGTACCTGCCTGAACATTTTGAAACTAAGAAATCAAAATGGGAGAGTTTGGCTTAGACACCTTGAAGGAAAAATTGAGCTATTTTTTTCTTTTGATTATATTTTTGAAATGTCATGTCAATTTCTCAATTTTTTTTTTCAGCCAAGAATGCTGGAAGTCAAACTGAGATTCAGTTTCCAGAAGCAGAGAATCTAATAAAATATCACACAATTTGTGATTAAATAACCATTGCTGCCATCTCTGCTGCTGTACTGTCTTCTCTAGAACTGAACAGCATTTATTTATATGAATTGCTGTGTTGGGATCAGTTGGCTTATTCATGAAAGTGTTCCTGATCCTATACAGTATATGCATATCAGACAGGCTTTCCCTTTGAAACAAAGCATATTTATATCTATTTGCCAGCTAAAGAAATACAAAGTGCTATTGAATACTTTATTAGGCAGAAAACACTCTTGCTTAAAAAGCCTCTAGAACTTATGTATAATATATCCCTGAATACATTTAGAGAATAATTTTTGTCAGAAATGGCTGAATTCTGTGGCACAGAACAGCTAACTGCTGCTGTTAGTGTGCTTTTCTTATTTGTGAGTATTTATAGAAGTATGTTTGCCTCCAGAGTATGATCATCATGCTCGTAAGTCTATTTCAATGACCCAAAGAAAAAGAAGGAAAATACTCTTACTTGTTAAGTATTTTCCCTCATCTTTTAGTTTAAGATTTGCATGGGGCCTTCAGCTAACTGCAGGTACCAGGACAGGGTGGGAGCTGAGGGGCTGGAAAGCAGCTTGGCAGAAAAACACCTGGAAGAGCTGAGGCACAACCAGCTGAACATGGTCAGCAATACACCCTTGCAGCAAGGAGAGGCAAGAGCGTCCTGGGCTGCACTAGGCAAAGCATTGCAAGCAGGCAAAAGGAGGTGATCCTTTCCCTCTGTTCAGCACTGGTGAGACACACCTGGAGTAGTGTGTCCACTTCCAGGCTCTCCTCTACAAGACAGACATGGACATGCTGGAAAGAGTCATGAAGGTCATGAAGGGGCTGGAACATCTCTCACAGGGGGAGATCAGGGAAGATGGTGCCAGAATCTTCTCAGTGGTACCCAGTGAAAGGACAAGTACACAAATTGAAGCACAGGATGATTAAAATTAATAAAAAGATGTTTTATTGTGAGGCTGACCGAGCACATGGGAGAGGCTGCCCAGGGAGTTTGTGGAGTCTCCATCCTTGGAGATGTTTGAAATCTGATTGGATACATCCCCGAGTAGCCTTCCCTAGCTATCTTGTTTTGGGCAGGGAAATTGGACTAGATGATGTCCAGAGATGCCTTTCAACATTCTGTGGTTCCAAGAGTCATAGGAGTGGAGTACAGATTTCTAGTTCACTGAAGTGAGCCTTACTGATTTAGGAAGGCAGATGGTGACTGTTCTGCTCAAAGGTGTAAAGAATCTCATTTTAGAATTTAAATTAAGGGAGAGTAAAGAGGCCAAGCACTTGCAAAAATTCTCCATTTATAGGGTCTGTGGAGTGAAAAAGGAGTTACAGCTTGCAAGTCATCCTAGAAGTAAATTAGAACTCCCACAACAAAAGAAAAGTGGGCGATTAGAAGAGAAAGAGATTAAACCAAGAAGGGTCATAGGAGCTCTGTGTTAGAGAGGACACAGTCAGAGTGCAGTTTTACATTACAGCAATAATTCTCTCACAGTTCCACATTTAAAAATAACATCAATGTCATAAGGTTTCTTAGAGGTAAAGTTTTACATTATGCTGCCAATGAAGGGGACAAGCCTGTTCTTCCCCTCCTATACCTCTTCCTTCTTTCTTTCTATTCTTTTCTGATTATTGCCATCATTAGTTATACCAACTCATTGATACAACAGAATATTGAACTATCAAAAAAAATAAAAAAAGGTTATTCCATTGGTGCATTTTGGTGACTTTGATGCTCCCTATGAATATGTAGTTGCTAGAGCCAGTGCAAAAGAGGGCATCAGGAAACACAGCTATGAGAGATAAAAGCAGCAGTAACATCCAGTTTAATTGGATACCAGTAAAATTTATCAGACATGAAAAAGAAAATGTTATTTTACATAGTCTAGATGATATGTGAATTATTGCTGTAACAGCCTGGCTGCAGTGTCACCTCACACCCTAAGGCAGTATGTTACACCCTGTGCTCTGCAACAGGATCTCTGACATTATCTATCAAGACTTAGAGAATCCCTATAAGACCTAAGCAATGAAGGGCACAAAAGTACTTTTGAACTGTTTCAAATGTCAGTCTGTCATTACAAAAATTCATTCCACAGTCAAAAACATTTTGTATGTATTTAACACCAATTGATGAATTGATGTGAATTAATATGAGTAGATGGCAAAAACCTATCTGTAATTCCAAAACGTAATGATATCCAAAACTCAGGACTGCATACAGCATTTGCCCTTAACAGAACCTGTTGTGTCAGATAGCACAACAGCTTATACACTTGTACTCAAATTCTAACATTAATTGCACTTTGTATCAATACATGGAGCATATTTTAGAAGATCTCTTATGTGAGCATCTCTAACAGCATCTCATTTGTATAATTGATGATACAGTGAGGAAATACCAGGGTTTTTTTCCTACTTGAAAGGCTACCCTTATTCGTAGCAACATAACAGTAAAAGAAAAAAAAAAAAAAAAAAACCAGTTTATTTCTACAAAATAAAGATAAAATTCCTTCAGAGGTCTCACCTACTAAACAAATACTTAGCGGTTTTTAACAGTTATACTGCAGCCTGATCACTGAAGACAGAAAAGGAGTTACAGAGATATGAAGATATTCTCCTGGAATACACAGAAAATGAATGGTAAGCAATCTCCTCCAAAACTAAGTTCAAGAAAGAACCACACTCAAGTATGGTTAAGAAGAGTGTATTTTCAAATAGTGAGGTGGTATCCTAAGTAAAACAAAAATGAACTCCTTGGCTATATTTAAATACTGAATTTGAAGTTCTAGGTCAACTGGCTTTACTCACTGGTGGAAAGAACAAGTAGAAAGGATAAAATTCCACTGTATCAGCAGAAAGTTTTCCTGTTGGTTTCCCAAAAAAACAATACTCAACTAATCTATAAAGCAAAATTAATACATCTCATACAAAGAACTGGAAAATTCTCTATTAAATGTAGCTTGGGAATATCAATAAAATGGCCAGTACTGTGTAAATGGCTGAAACAAATCCTTGCTCTAGGAGACCAATCTGCTAGATTGATGGGTGTTGGGATGCTAATACTTTTATCAGAGAGGAAGTTACCTGGCAGAAACAAACTACACTGCTACAGAGTGAGCATTTGGAAATTGCAGGACCAATGTTGAAAGGCTGAGCTTTCTGCTGTTGAGAACTAAAAAAAAATGCATTATTTTGGTGTTACGGCTGAAGATCAATAGATCACGCAGACACAGGTTGAGGTGTGGTAAAGAAAGAGCAGAGTTTATTTTTCCTCCCAGGATTTATAGGCTTCTTACCACGGCCAGGGACTGGATGGTCAGGATAACACTTCCTCTCTGCACTGGCCATGAGAAATGCCCATCAGAAGATGTGTAACAGAAAGAATGTACACATATCTATGTTTACAGGTACTGTCCTGGGAAAGTCCTTAGAAAACTATGTTAGCAAGCTCAGAAGCTGAGTTTTCAGAGTGACATCCCACCCTTTTTGGTTTAACAAAAAGAAATGAAAAAAAGAAAAATGAACAAAGAAACTAACAACATTATAAACAATCAAAAAATAAATAATAGGAAAATTCAATACTCCATACAATCAGAAGGCTGTAATTTCAGGGTGATATCTCACCCTTTCATTATTACAAAAAACAAAACAAAACAAAACAAAACAAAGAAAAAAAACCAGAAAAACAACAAAACTCAAAATAAATGACACAGTTGTCCAACATCAACACCTGCTTGTGGATGGGCCATCGGGGTGAGCACGCACGTCATCGACATCCGAGTCCTCATCCGTTGGCCCACCCATCCCATCACTTCCAATTTGGTCACGGCCTCCAGCCCGCTCGCCGGTCAAATGCTGCCTCTGCGGTTGCAGGTCAGGACGAACACACTTCGCAGGTACCCAGCATACCCCAGTATCTGTGGATACACAAGCATACCCTCGCCCCGAAGCAATGAGGTCATAGGGACCCTCCCACTGTTTTGTGACTAGATTCCTCACTCTAACCTTTGCCCTAGGCTGAGGCGTCTCATCCGAAGCCCGCAAAGAAAGGTGATGATTCAACATGACTGGGTTACTGGAGTTCTGCGGCACCGTGAGGTGATTGAGGGTATATAAAGCTTTCCCCAACCAACTGTGCGGGGTCTCGCCCTGCATTCCCCGTTTCTGCTTCTGCAGAACTCGCTTCAGTGTACCGTGAGCGCGTTCTACGATAGCCTGACCTGTCGGAGAATGAGGGATACCAAACTTGTGTGACACACCCCACAACTGCAGGAACTGCCGCACCTTCTGAGAGGCGTAAGCAGGACCGTTATCAGTCTTCACAGCAGAAGGCACGCCCAAAACAGCAAAGGCCTGCTTCCAGTGGGCAATGACATCACAGGCTTTTTCTCCTGCGTGAGCAGAAGCCCACATGGCAGAGGAGAAAGTGTCCACACTGACATGCACATACCGAAGCCGGCCGAACACGGCAACCTGAGTGACATCTGTCTGCCAAAGCTCCAAGGCCTGAAGGCCCCTGGGGTTTACCCCTGCTGGCAAAGGTGCAGCAAGCGCATGACAATCGTCACAAGACTCAACGATGTCATGGGCCTCAGCTGACATCAGCTGAAGCTGTTTCTGCAAAGTATGTGCATTCTGATGGAAGAAGCCATGTGACGCTTTGGCCTGGCTGAGTGTATCAGGCTGAGGTGCAACCCACGCTGGGTTAGCCAATTTGTCAGCCCTCGCATTACCTTCTGCAATAAACCCTGGCAAACTGGTGTGACTCCGCACATGCAGAACGTAATATGGATGTACCCGGGCCTGAATGGCACTCCACAGGGCCTTCAGTAAATGAAACAAGGCAGGATTGCTGACCTCCTTCAAGACTGAATGGCCCAACCACTGGGCTATACCGGCCACATAGGCGGAATCCGTGACCAAATTGAAAGGTTCCTGGGAAAACTTCTGAAATGCCATGATGGCAGCCCGTAATTCCACCAATTGGGCTGACCCAGTCTCATGACTCTCCAAGACTTGCCACCCAGATCCTTCCTTCCAGGTAGCAATGGCCTTTCCAGTCCTCCCCGAACCATCAGTAAAGACAGGGGGGCCTTGCACAGGCTCCTGACTATATCTGGGCCGCAAAGAAAGTTTCGTGAAGTTTGCCACTTGCAGCAATTTATGACTGGGCAGATGGTAAGCGATCTGCCCAGAAAAATTCTCTAGAACACTTTGCATGGAAATACTGTTTGCAAAGCTCCAGTCAAAGTCCTCCGGCGGTACCGGGAGCACAATCTTTGCGGGATCTGCACCCATCAATTGTAAACACCGTTGTCGGCATTTAATTATCAAACGAGCTATCAGCTCAAACATCGCCGTTGCCGCCTTCTGCGGCTGATGGGGCAGGAAAATCCATTCTAGGACATGCAAGGGATCAGACCACTCATCATTCCACTGGCCAATGATACCCGCAGGATGCAAATCTGGAGTAACAATGAACACAGCGACATCAATGGAAGGGTCAATGCGATGAACCTGACGAGCGGAAACCGCTCGCTGGACCTCCTCCAGCACCTGCTGCGCCTCTGGGGTCAGTGTCCGAGGTGACTTTAAATCAGAGTCCCCCTTTAATAGACCAAACAAGGGGGATAATTGCGCCATGGTCAGTCCCAAGTAGGGACGCAACCAAGTAACGACACCCACCAATTTCTGAACATCATTCAGTGTCTTCACCGAATGCACAAATTGCACCTCCTGGTGTTGGACTGTCCATTCCAAAATTTTCACCCCCAAGTACTTCCAAGGAGGTTGTTGCTGAACCTTTTCCGGAGCCACTTGCAGCCCATGAGAATGCAAAGCAGTGAGCAGCTGAGGCCTCGAGCAGGGAATCGCCTAAAGCGTCCCAGGCCGACTTCGAAAACATGGCCTCAACCACAGGGAAAAAACCCTCATCTTTGCCATACTCACACAACCGTTGAAACTCAGCATTCGAAATGCCTCTCTGATCCAACACCGCATACCATATCTCCATAACCAGGTCCCCTGTAGGAGAGAGCCCAAAAAGAGCCATAGCCACAGGCTAAACAATACCCTGTAACACACGTGCAAGTCACCAGATGTTACCGCTGAAGATCAATAGATCACGCGGACACAGGTTGAGGTGTGGTAAAGAAAGAGCAGAGTTTATTTTTCCTCCCAGGATTCATAGGCTTCTTACCATGGCCAGGGATTGGATGGTCAGGATAACACTTTCTCACTGCACTGGCCATGAGAAATGCCCATCAGAAGATGTGTAACAGAAAGAATGTACACATATCTATGTTTACAGTTACTGTCCTGGGAAAGTCCTTAGAAAACTATGTTAGCAAGCTCAGAAGCTGAGTTTTCAGGGCGACATTTTGGCAGTATGAAAGTCTGAAAATAAATTATTTTTAGCCAAAATGGAAATTGAAATTGACATTGCAGTTTCTTTGATTTCAGAGAGACAATATAGTAAAATATTGTTATGGTTTCAGCTGAAGACAGTAATAGTAATAGTAATAGTAATAGTAATAGTAATAGTAATAGTAACAGTATTATTATTTGCTTCTTAGTAGCTGGTACAGTGCTGTATTTTGGATTTAGTTTGAGAATATTCAGAAAGGTCCTCCTAGTACCAATGTATCGCCTTCTCTAAGGGGTTTTAAGAGTTAGCTTGCCTAAAAAGCTACTGAAGTGGGATGGAAGATTTCTGAACACACATAGTTTTGACTGTGTTTCTTAATCTTTAAAAGATGGATAATAAATCTCAGTAATTTCCAAAGATTTCAAAATATGTAAGTGAAAATTGATACATCAGAATTATACAATAAAGGTAAATATGCACGTTGTTATCTAAATTCATTAAATTCCTGTTTCTAGGTGAATAAGTAACATTCTAAAGTATAATTTCAAGATATAATTTCAAACAATACCTCTGTTTCAAATTTGATAAGCAGGTACAGCCATGGAAAAATAGACAAAAATTTTAAAATATGAGACAAGTTTAGTATGAAGTGATAAAATACCAATGTCTCTAATAAAACTGGCTAAAAGGAACAAGAGTTTCACAACGCAAACTTTGAGTGCAGTCAGAAATACCACCTTTTTCCCATAACTGGTCTGTTTTGAGATGTCATTCCACAAAGTCTTGCAAACCAATAAAAAAAAACAAAGAGGAAGATTGTTTCCCATTTCCAAGTTTCAACTGGTCCCTTCCTCCCATTCACACTGATTGCTGTGCTGTCTCTGGCAATCCTCAGACCCATCTGTGAGTGAATTTTCTGCCAGACCATATTAAATCCTGCACAGATTTTTGCCATAGGAATGAAATGCAATGGCTGATAGAGGAGTCTGATGCGTGCACTGCCAGAGAGGAGTGAGGATCAGGTGTGGAGAGAAGGTGTGGGGGGCAAGTAGAGTGGAATAGGATGAAGCAGTGAAGCACCTGCAGCTATAAATCCCATTTCTTAGATACAACAATACTAGAACCTGAAATGCTAACATTTTCAAAAAACATTTTCAAAAGGGGCAAGAAGAATTTCAGTTAACTGGGGAGAGAGAAAAAAATTATTTAGGTCATTAATATGGTTCTCTTAGAAGCAAGGATCTGGAAAAAGAAACATTTACTTCTAGTCTCTGTTCCAGTTTTCGATTAAATGTTGATTAAGACTGTGATTAGAACCCAGGTCTCTTTTCCCAGGTGAGTTCTTTAATATCTTGAATAGTTATTCATGCTTGGGTATTCACTTTCTTGCTTAAGAATAATTATTTATTTACTCAAAGTACAAACTCTGTAAACAAGAAGGACCTGGAAGCCTTACACATCCAGAACAGCTGACAGCTTGCCCCCTGGCACACTTGGAGCTGTAGATTTAAATCCAGATTTCAGCCACTATTTGACTGCAGAGCTGAAACACTTCTGAACTTTCAGGTCCCAGCTGAATGGCTTGTCTTTCTATTGATATGAAACCCAAGTGTGTGTCCATATGTTGCTTCAGCAGGAGCCAAGGAGCCTGTGACAGATCCTTAATCAGGAAACCATAATATCACAACATTCATCAGCTGGTTGTGATGCAGCCAGCAGCACTGTAAAACAGATAAATACACTGATGGTGATATACCTGGATACTCAAGCAATGGCTATTACACCAGCATTTCAAACAAGCTGTGCAGAAGGACAGATGGAAGATAAGTACATACAGGACTAAAGACTGTCATGGAAATTCAAAGACAAAAAAGGAAGGTTTATTACTGGAAAGCATATTTGCTCTATCTGCTTTTCTGCTTGAATGTTGATTAACTGTGGAAGAAGTAGTCTATTGATACCAAAGGTATGACTATATTTGAAGTTTAAGAAGCATCTGAGATGAAGCTGAGGTAAGAAAGAGTTCTAGAGCAAGACTAAGCAATCTACTACAAAGTGTATCCAACTATTTTTAGCCCTGTCTAAACCAAAAAGGTATGAAACCCTAATAATGAACACAGGATACGTATTAAAATCTTTTTGCATTTAGTATGACTACAGGAAGTGGCTTGAAAAAGTACTGTGTCATTTGTGTCACTTGGTAATTTTGTAGTCACACAGGTGCCAACCCTCTTTTCTGGTCAACAATGTGAAGATGTATAAGCAGAAAAAACAAATAAAGTACTGATTTTGTTCTTGAAGAGTAGAAAACGAAGAAAACTCAAAGAAAAGGACCAAGCACTAAATATTCTCATACCATCGCTGACTAGGCATCAAAGATAGTGCACATGACTAGTTTTATAGATGTAGTCTGTGAATCATAAAAAAAAAAAATTAAAAAAAAATTCTGGGTGTTTAAACAAATCAACAGTACTTTGATACAGGCTTCAAAGAAGATAAAGGCTTGAGCTGCAGCTGGGCCAAGAACTCTTCTAGAAAACAAACCCAAAAAGGTGCAGGGTGACCTAGTGAGAATGATGCACACCAATCATAGGGTTAACACATGAATAATTGGTGTTCTTTCCAAGACCCATTTATCAAAGAACAAAGGCAATTGTGGGTACAAGGAGTCTCATGTGACCCATTGTATGCAAATGCCAACCACTTTATACCATAAATATAACATAAATCAGGATTGACAGGACTGGAGAGGGCACGGCCACTTGCTTTTTTGCCTGAATTTTATTTGTTGATATGGTTGTTTATGTCTGAAGGTGGACAAACCCTCTGAAAGCCACTGTCACATTGTTCAGAGCTGAAACCTGGTATTTGACAGTGCATGTTGGTGAATTTGCCTTCAGCCTAGCTAGCAGGGGAATGGAGCTGCCCTTTGCCATACAGTATCCTTTTCTTCTTCAGAGGATCTATTCTAGTAGTTTTAATGTAGTTTTAATGCTTCTACTAAGTCAAAGCAAACCAGACAGCAAGGTTTCCTGCAGAAGCAAATGTAAATTTTTTACTTTTGGCCACAACATGTGATGATCATTTATGGTTAGTTCATTCCAAAATATTATAATTTAATTTGGGTTCAAAATACTTACCTTCTCTTTCCTCCTTCTCCCTTATTTCATACAGTTTGGAGTCATCTTGCTCATTAATCGAGATCAAGATACCTTAAGGTTTTACGTCATCTCTTACACAGAAACAAGGAGAAATACAGATAAAGGAAAATAATGTATGGAAAGAACTGATTCAGCTCATCAGAATTCTGAATTTAGTTTACATGAGATCCAAAAGCATTTTCCTGCTTTTCATATCCAAGTCCTTAATGAGGCAGTTTTGTCAAAGTGAAATCTCAAAAATAGAATGTTCCAGTAAGATGTCTTTTAAATCTGTCTACTCTTTGTGTATGCTAAACTCATCAAATGCTTTTCTAAAATAGCTACTGTTTTGCAGCAAACGAAGCACAGACAATTGAATGTGTCAACACCACTCGTGGAGTCACGCTAAGATTCATTTATTTTTGTCAGGCACCCATACTAGTAGTGAATCAATGGCACTGCATTTGTAGTCAGATGTCACACATATTGCAAACCTATCTCAAAGGCTTTGGTTCTGTTCTCAGATGGGTTGTACACTGCAGTAAGGGCTGCAGTGACCCAGAAGAATTGGCACCTGGGAGCATCAAGATTGCCTTTGGCTGGCCCCATTTCCAAATTATTCTAAAAGAAATGAACCTTTTTTATGTACTGCTATTCAAGAAAAGCCTATTTTGTCAGATTAGAAAAACTACAGCAAAATATCTGGTCCATCCTTTTCAAGGTGGGACCCAGAAAATAGTAGGACCAGCTCAATGGATGATGGACGAAAAGAAAATGATGAATCCAAAGGCAATCCTTATCACAGGATCTGCAGGACCTCCACTGCTCCTAAGAGATGGATTCAAAACTTGTTATCATGCTGAGGATATACTTCAATCTGGAACTTCCCTGCCTAGGACTTCTTGAATTCTGTCTGGAAAAGTCTGGATGAAAATTCGTGTGTCAGCATAATGCAGAAAACCACAGTGGTCCAACATGTCCTGGACAAAGATCTACAGAACATTCTTTTCCAAAGACTCATGGAAACAGAAACATTTATTCAAATGAGCAGCAAAACAGGAACATCTGAAATCTCAGATAAAGAAAAGACAAGCTGGATAGACCTATTTTGCTCATTAAATAACAAGAATACAAGTTTTGCTATAACCTTTATCACGGGAAGGATGATGAGAAAGGAAGAGTTTTTTTGGTCTGATCAGGTACAAGAGTAAAATTAAAAAAGGCTGCAATGGGTTTGAATTGGCGGCAACTAAAATGGTTGTCACTACCACAGCCATCAAAGTCATACCAGATAAGCTCAGTAAATTTCACTCTTCCAGATGTTGCTGTTTCTAAGAATATATGTGAGGTTGTATCCTAGAGCATATGGTGCTGTTTCAAAAGTTGCACCACAGTAGGCAGCTGAGTGGGAGGAGGCAGAGAGGGAGAGAGTATGCATGGATGTCTCTCAAGGCCACCTTTCCTTTGGAGTTTTCCACATGCCTGTCATTGCTGCAAATGCCCAGACTGCAAACAGGAATCAGCTAAATTATGATGTAGTTTGTTACCAAGTGGAAGAGTTAACAGCTTCTCTTACCTTTCAATCGCACAGACATAGGTTATTTGCTTAATAGAGAAATTTGACCTTGCAAATATTGGTGTAATGCAAGGCGTAATTAAGTTTTACTGTAAGCAAAACACATTTTCCTTCCTACTGATACTAGGACAAACACTGAAGTTGGGTTCCTACTCATAACTGGAGGTGTAAACCCAGAAAGGATTCTCAGGAGGCCTCTGGCAATGTTCGGGTGTCAAGGATGGACTATGGTATAGGCCACTAAGACTTTTAGATGGTTTTCTAACCTTACATAGCTACAATATGGTGCATATTCTGTATTTTCCCTAGATGCTTGCCCAAGGAAAGGGATTGTTTGGAGAAATCACCTCTTGCATCTTATTTTAGAGTGATGAATATTGTGCTATATCAGCGGCTACACATAAAATGTTTATGCTATTGTTTTTCAAAATTGATAGATCAACACAGACTATTTAAACATATTAGAAAGTAGTAGCCTGTAATAGACTGACTTCAGAACAATGGCTGAATTGGGAAAACTTATTTGAAGGTCTCAGCCTTAGTTTCCTGACTCTTTATAAACTCACATGAATAAGGAGGTACAACTTTGTTTTCTATAACTTATCCATTGAGGCAGCTAGTCTCTTGACCTTACTTGGATTTGCACCAGTGGCACAAATTAGAATGTTTTAAATTTGATTGATGATTTATGAAACCAGCTATTTCATGTCTTCAGCAGGATCTGTACCAATGGCACACAGTTGAAGAGCCGTGTCCCACTGCTGGTCCAAATATCCAACCAGTTGTAAACAAACAGAATAGAGTTAAGAAATTACAGTTAAGGAGTCACTGGAAAAAGAACCAGACCTACATGAGAACAAAACGATAGAAATTATACTGAATACTTACTCTAAATATGAAGTGTCTCTGAAAACTTTCAATGAGAGTTTAAATAGTCCTTTCCCACACTGTAATGAAGAGAACAAACTGCTATCTTCTTATAATCATACTGAAGGCTCCTTTTTTTAAAATTAAGATTTCTACAGGTAACTATGGAAGTTAGTACAGGAGATTCCTGTCTGCTCAAACTGTTTTCCCAAAGTGACTAAAAGATGTAATTTGGTAGTGCTCATGATAAACTCAGAAAGCCACTGTATTTCCCAGTAGACTACACAAAACAAACATGGCCGGCAGAGCCCGCTGGATAAAAAGGCAGGGCTTTAGTTAACAGAGAGATGTTGATAATTACCAACTGGCAGACAAAATAATGTAAAAACTTTGCTGAGAGGCTGCTGAATTGAGTTATACTTTAACTCTGACATTACCAGGACAAAATGTGACTATCAGCTTTATACTGAATATCCTCATCCTGATGAGGAGAACTGTTTTTCTCTGGATAGTCAATATGAACTCCAGTGTGGATTGCTAGTGCATTCCCTAGAATATATCCCTGGAGTAAAAGGCTTCTGTATCACACACATTTGTTTTCCTACTCTGTCACAAATTTGACTGCAGGACATCATCCTATTCACAACCTTCTCTTGAACTATTATGGATCTACCATCTAGTTTACAAGGCTTTTCACATCACAGTAACAAAATCCCTATTATCAATTTCAGTTTCTTCTTTACTCAGTCTTTTAAAAAATTGTAAATTTATTTTGTTGCTTTAATGCAATCATCTACTACATTTCTATATAAAAAAAAATCTCATACAAATCCCTCTAGTAGGCACTTATAAGTCAAGAAGTAATAACCTAATGCTACCAGTGAAATCTGAATTTTGCCCCTCCTTCTTACCATCCACAAGAGCAACAAATCAACAGGCTACACAGGGAGACTGAGATGCTCTGAATAAACAATACTGTTTTTAGTGTAGGGTGTGAGAATCCTCTGCAGGAAGCTACAAAATGTCAAGCTATTTGCTCGCACTTTAGATAATTTCAGATACGTTTGCAAAAAAAAAAAAATTTTTTTTTGCCTTGTCTACAGCAGAATATTCAACACATAGTGACTGAACCCGTGAGGGAACAGCAGTATGAGCACCAGCGATGCAGTATATCTTCAGTAACCATGCTGTTTTGGGTTCAGGCTTACACCCACCCACATATGTTGTATTATACCATTGCATAACCAGAGATCCCTGGAGCCTGGATTCTCAGTCTCTATGGCTGCACACACGGCAACTGCTGTGCCAATACAGAAATACTGATATTGTGTGCTGGTGCACCACCCCATCAAAGTGCTACTAGTGCGACTTTCCCATAGACAGAGGATATTTCTTCAGCCTTTTTATTTATTTTTATTTTTATTTTTTTTTTGCGCTAGTTGTTAATCTAAGAAAGTGATATGCTAAGGAGAAAACTGAAGTGGTTCATTTATGTATATGCAAATTACAAATGCTTTCAATAATTGCTTATTAGTAGGCAGTCAAAAGGAGACTAATACGGAGTCTGCTATTAGTAAGACAGCATTGAAAATGCAAGAGGAATACTCAAAAATATAGAGATCTGCTGAAGTCAGGGGACTTGAATTTTAGAATGGGTTATCATTTTTAGTTGATGATGGTGCATAATGAATGTAGAAGACGTTTGCCCACATATTCAATCAAAATTAGTTTAAATATTTGCTTCCTGGAGTCCAATGTCACATAAGACCAAAAAAGATGACAGTAAGTTGCTTTATCAAAACAACTGTTGCTTTCTCTGTGTTTCAACAGCTTTAGTCACAGAGAAAAGAAGAATGGCTTGCAGGTGAAATAAGAAGCCTGGAAAGGTAAAAAACACCTTGCTGAGCCCCAGGAAATTGGTGGAGAAAAGATTGTATGTCTGTATTTCTAGGCTGGAGAAGTCAAGGGTGACCTTCTCACTCTTCACAACCACCTGAAAGGAGGCTGCAGCTCGGCCTCTTCTCCCAGCCAACCAGCTCCAGGACAAGAGAACACAGCCTCCAGCTGTGCCGGCGGAGGCTCAGGTTGGATGTCAGGAAGAAATTTTTCACAGAAACGGAGATTCGGCATTGCAGTGGGCTGCCCAGGGAGTTGGTGGACTCACCGTCCCTGGAAGTGTTTAAGAGAAGACTGGATGCGGCACTCAGCACCATAGTCTACATGACAAGGTTGGTCATAGCTGAACTCGACGACCACAGAGGCCTTTTCCAAACTAATTGAATCAGTGGTTCTGCAATTCTATGCTAACCAAGAGCAGGGATCATTACCATCCTTACTTTCTTTTCCCCTTTTCCGAGGTCTCAGGAATTGAATTGCCGGCCCCCTGCAATGAGGGATCCCGAGGGCCGGGTCGGATTCTCGGCGCTCGATTGGTGCTGCCTGCGCCGCGCGCACCGCGCTAGTCTCGCACCCCCCCCCGCGCCGTCGTAGCCCTGGCCCCGCCCCCGATCTGCCCCCGCCCCTCAGCCCCGCCCCACCCCTCGGCCCCGCCCCCTCTGCGCTGGCGCCGCTGCCGCGCCGCCCCGCCCCCCCCCGGCAGTGCGGTGCTGCGCCGCGAACATGGCGTCGGAGGGGATGATCCTGACGAACCACGACCACCAGATCCGCGTCGGCGTCCTCACAGGTACAGGGCCGCTCCGGGCACGACGCCGGGGACGCGCGGGGGGCGGCCGCGGGTCGGTGCGCGCCTCAGGCCGCCCCGCGGGGTTCCCCGCCGGCCGTCTGTCTCTCTCGTGGCGGCGGCGCCGCCGCTGCGCAGGGAGCGCCCCTCCGCCGTGCGTGCGGCACCCGAAGCCCCGAGCCGGGGTCGGGGCGTGGGGGCGGCGCTCCGGCCGCCGGCGGACGGCGTGAGCGGAGCCGGCCGGCGCTGGGCAGCGCTGCCGCAGGCGGGCGGGCGCCGCAGCCGCGGGGACTGACCCGGGGATAACCCGCGCGAAGGGGACGGAGCGCGCGGGCGGGCGAATGCCGGAGGGCATGGGGGGCCGGGACGCGGCCGGGCTTCCTCCGAACGCGGCGGAGCCTTGAGTGCGAAGGCGCTGGAGAAGGCAGCCCGCGGCCGGCGCAGTCTGCGGGCCGGCAGGTGCCGGGCCTGCCTTCTCCGGGCGGGAGGCGGCCTCAGCTCCCGGCCGCGGGAATGCCCGAGCGCGGCACGCTCCGCGCGGCAGCTCCTTTGGGATGGCTCCTTCCCCTCCCCCTCCGGCCTTTACTTTGGGAATTGGGAGAGGGTGGGTGGGGATGCTTGTGCCTGTATGCTCTCTTTTGGGAGGGGGAGGAGGGCATTTATGATGCTGCTGCTCATAGCGCACGGATGATCCTTTAATAAACCCGTGGCACATGACCTGCGGTGTTTGCACAGAAGGGCTCCCGGAGCCGGTAGGGGTGTGACAGGCTGGGGGGTTCCTTTGCCGGGGTCTTGGCGGGTATCCCGGAGCCCCGCGGAGCCCTGAGGGGTTCCAGTGCATACGGGCGTCAGCGCCGTTCCTATGCAAGGAAGGGGCGAGAGATTTCGGCGAAATTTTCAGGCGTCAAGCTCAGTAGGTTTCACCAGGAGCCTGGGAAGACATGACTGTTCATGGAAAGCAGCGTTGTGAGCTCTCTTAGGAGTAGGAGGATGCTTGGAGTGAAAGAGGGACATTGATGGGAGAGGAGGCCTGGCGTTAACCCTGATGTTATTGATTAGCTAGCGGTGTTTAACCCGAGCGGCGCCTTCGGAAGCGGCCCGAGCCCGCGGGAGCCCTCGGCGCTGTTCCTGCGCCGGGTGCTGATCCCGCTGCCGGGAGCAAGGCATGTCGCGAAGGCTGGAGCCTTTCCCCTCCTTCCCTTCCTGCGAAGCGCTTGGCCGCAAGATGATTGTGACGATAAACCGCTAGAAAAGCACGGTATATACAAGTGGAGATCCTTAGCGTTGCATTCGAATTCCAGGCAGCCAGATCCTTAATATGGGTAGAGCGTGTTGGACCAGATGCAAAAGTCACATGGGGTGGTTTGTTCCCTTTGTTCCTGAAGGATAGGACATGCGTGCCACTATCTATTATTGTAAAAGTTAAAGCGGGAAGGGAGTTATAACCGAATGGTCTTTGCGTTATTTTGTACAACTTCATGGTGTGTAACTTGGGTTATTATTTTCTTTTGATCAAAGAGTTGTAATCATTTTCACATGTAAGTTTTCCCAGAATGCAGTACCAGGCACATATGGTGTTATAATAATTTAAATAACGATTTGGTCTCTCATTAGGTTCAGATAATCTTTCTGAATACACTTATTTTGAACTGTAAATCCTGTTTGATCATTGTTAAACTCTTTAAGCTTTATATTATAATTTGTAATTTCATTGAGAAGACCTTCTGGTCTAATTTTAGTATTTTGTTTTTAGAGGAAAGCCAAATGGCATAACCAAATAGAACAGTTTTAGTTTTTCCCCCTTAATGTAATTATTTTGAATTCCAGGCTAAAAACTTTTGCAAATAATTATTTTGCCATTTTAAAAGGGGACAGCTTGGTTTCTTACAATTTTCCTAGCCTTCTTTTTATGTGTGCTTGTAAACATTAAATAAAATGGTATACAAATGTCATAGCATATATTTGGCCAGCCTTAATTATTTTCATCTCTGGCATCTCCTTTAACCTGAGAAGAGAATATTTGTACTTTGGGGGATTTGGATCCCCTAGCAGTTTCTGCTGTTTCAGCTATGAAAAGATAGCAAATTAAAAAATGTAGTCCTCTGAATTTTTCTCATACAGATGAACTAATAATTGGTTCTTGAGCTAATAAATGCTACTGTATGGAGGAATAAGTGTAGAAATGAAAAGGTTAGGTATGTGAACTATATTTTTTTAACATTTAGAGTAGCTTAGTGATCAGAAATTAGATAATTAACATGACTTCTTCAGCTTTTCTAATTAAGATCATAGGCATATGTTTGTTTTCCTATGAATATATACTTGTGATCTTATCAGCACAGGCATACAGATTTATGCTCCTGTTAGATCTGGTGTACTCAGTATAGAAAATAATCAGTACTGCACCTTATGGTCATGATGGAATTTAAATTTACTTAGGAAGGAGTAAGTCTGTTGAATTAATTTGGAATAAAGTTGTGTGTTTATTTTTAAATGAGGACATATGAAAATTATTTGGGCACACTGTAATTTTTATCTGATGTAGAGACTGATGCTCATGGCTGCGGAGTATATTGAGAGTGAGTAATGTTTGTCATAAAGGTTAGTTTCATTACATTGTTTTGTTTTGAGTAAGTTATTGTATTTAGTTTTGCTTGGTAGACCTCTGTGTTTGTGTATGTGTTGCCAGTTTCCACCAAGAAACAAATGTAAATTTTTCCACTTGTGGCAAATTAGGACAGGTACAGTGGATTAGAGAAACAGAAATCTTAGTTATTGTTTACCAAAGTAACTTAACTGTGTTCAAATGCAAATTTATGCAGAATGTAGCACCTTGGGCTTTTTTTACAAAAATTACTTGTTAATTTCTCTTGTACCCAAACTGTTGATGTATTTTAGTTAAGAGTCAATGATAAGAGTAGAGTTGCTAATTAGGACATTTTCTCAACGTCAAAGAACTGTCTTCCTGAAATCAGGAAAAATGCTTTAGTGTATACAGCACCTATGGACTTGAAGACAACGCTCATGCTTATTTTTGAGTCTCTATATAGAAAGTTGTAGAGTTAAGCTTATTTACTGAAACGGGAGGAAATATACAACTGACTGATAACAAAACTGAAACTTGTGAACTAGAGGTTTATGTCTTATGCACATAGGAAGCTTGTTTGTGGATAGAAACTTGAATTCTTATCTTTGTGTCTTATCATTTCAAGAAGTTTCTTAATTTGTGAATAGTGTAACTGTGAAAGTGTCATATTCAGCACCAGGGCTTAATGAAGTGTTCAGATTAAAGATGCTGCTCACTTAGGTTCCAAACCTAGGTTTCCCTCTGCTACCTTTGGTATGTACTGCAGGCTCATGAGCTACTAATAGAATAGTGTTATGTTGTCTTGATATTACTGTTACGGTAAAATACATTTTAAAAGGGCTGTAATGCTAACTGTCATACTGGGAGATTTTTGTGATGGAATAACAGAGTTGGACTAACAGTGTCCAAACCTTTGTCATTGAAGTGTTCTGGATATCTTCTTTCAAAACAGAAACAGTCATAGAGAAACAAGAAATGTGGGGTAGATAAACGAAAAAGAGGAGAGGTATCCACAGTTACAGTAAAGGTTGGATTCTTTGCATGCTCTGTATGTACTGTTGTGCATCAGTGCTTTCTTGGTAAAATACAAGCGAGCTTTTCATGTTTGGGATCTCTCTAACTGAACAGTTGTTAATCAGTTACCAGTGGTGTCAGGTTGCTGAACCTGGTGTACTAAGTACAGAATTTTGTAACGTTGAAGTTGGCTGGAAAAGAGGAGAAATTGTGTGCTCTGGCCAGAGTTGAATCAATATTAGGTTATCCTTCACTGGTGGTGGCATTGGTAAAAGTTATATAATCTGTGACCTTTCTTGTTTTGTCAGGGACTAAAGCTGACCCTTGACTGGAACCGTCCAGAGAGTTCTGAATGATGTTGCCATCTCCATTAGCCCAATGGAAAAAAACAGACTCTGCCTCTCTGTGGTTGTTCCTATTTTGTGTTTTTTTTCCTCTCCATCCCCATTATTTTTTTGTTTGCCTCTCTTCTTGTTTTCTCTCCAGTAAGCAGGTAATGTAGCTGGCCAAAACTCAAGGTTTTGTTACACATTTGTTTTTTTCAAAATATCTGTGATAAAAATTTGTCAGATTTTGGGTTGGCTGATAACTCTTCATTCAGTTTGCGTTAGTGGCAGGTCTGTGAGAAAATCATCACCAGACATAAATACCATTTTCTGTCTTTGCTCCTCATTTTGTATTGTTTCTCCTTGTTTAGGATAAAGCTCTCAGACTAACTTTCTTTCAGGATAGGTTTACTATGTTCAGTATTGCTTTAAAATTGGTACAGCCTTTCCCTTTCATAAGGGGATAAGGGGTTTAGGCAAATTTTTCTTCAGATACATTGTTCTCCCTTTCTTCCTCTGTGTAAAGATTAAGACATTTTCAATGATAGCTGTTGCCATAAGCCTACATAATAAAGCAGACAAATGTTTCTGAATGTGTAACTCAGACCCTGATGTTCCCATAACCCTGTAGTGTGAAAGATTACAGGGGTGTCTTTGTGTTTGAAGTGACTCTGAGCATGGACATTGTGTCTGAATGTATCAGTTTGAAGCAAGCTTCTGAGATGGTGAGGCTCTTACCTACTTGAGAACTGCAACCAGAGGTTGCCTGGGCAGATCTGAAGTTCAGTGATATGAATGTTTTGTAAAAATTATCTTTGAGAAATATGGGAAACAAAATACTTACAGTGTCACTATATGTTGGTTCAGACTGTTTTAGAAATGTATAGGCTGTCTGTGTCCCAACTAAAAAGTCATATGTTTCTCTCCTGTTTTATGAGGTACTTTCTTACGACTTTCCTCTAAGTCTTCGTCAATAACATGCAAGTTGCAGGATGTCTTCATGACTATGGTTCTGTTCATCTATTCACTTTCATAAGAAAGTGGGAAACTTTCTTATAGAGGTGTGTGTGGGAGGG